ATACCTTCTACAAACTTTTCAATTTTTTGAGCTGAAGTCCTACGTTCCATATATACGAGAGGTTCGGATTTGACTTCCACTACCACTACCACTACCACGCACTGACTTAGTACGCATCTGACTGGTTAATCGGATATATCAAACGCATCTGATTGGTTAATAGTCCCTCAAGGGCGGATTTTCATTTCTTTAAAAGGAGTGGTGGAATAAATTCTAGTGGGGTACAAGCGGCACCCCTGAGCGAGCTTCGGCAGGGGTTAGGGTTAAAGACTTTCACACAAAATAGGAGGGGTGAAGCGAAATTTTCGTGGGGTTGAAAACTTTATAAGAGGAGTTAGAGATTCTAGGGGGGGGTTAACCCCCCTAACCGTCCCCAGTAAATCCGCCCATGTAGTTCCTTAATGGTAGCGGTAGTGGAAGACAAATCTAAATCTCTCTACAAAGCAAGGCCGCTGAATCCTACCTGTCGAAGAAAATTTGCTTGTCCAACAGCCGATTCAATATCAGTCTTATCCTGATCAAAAATAAACAGCAATCCACCACGTTTCTGTTCAACTTTGATCACTGGAAAAATTCAATTATAAAATCGAAATGATTACTATATACACTACCTCTGAGACGACCAACTTGAAGCAAACCTACATTATAGATTTGTAGTAGATATGAAATGGCAATTTATAGTTTTTAATGAATTACAAACTTTACCCTTTGCTCCGGCTGGGATAGGTTGGGCCTTGGCACACAACGTTAACTCTTGTCTAGAAAAGAAAATTGGAAATCACAGTCAAATGAAAGTCTTCCAGTCACGATTCAGTGATTGGAATGTCCACTGTCTTTTCATTGTTCCGAGAATCCAGCAATTCTTCAAACCATCCAGTCACTCATTGGTTTGACTTATTTTAGTACCCAAAAGCTTATTGTTTTTCATATCAGATAAAATCTTCAATCCTTAGAAAGTTCATAAATTAGATTTTGCATAAATATGAGGACTTTAGTAAAATTTATCAAACTGAGGTATTCCCCAAGGGAATTAACCTTTCTCACGATGACGAATATCCGCCACTTTTGGGTGGCATCCAATTCTCGTTAACCAATGCAGACAATTAAAACAATGTGAAAAGCAATTTTTCAAAATAAACTAACCATTTACAAAGCAAATTTACCATCATTCGTCCAAAAAATTATAAAAAGTCGCTGTTATGTGGACTTATCTCGCAGACTTCGACTGAAATGCCACGCAAAAATGGCGGCGTGAGAAAGGCTAATTCAAGCCAACGCCTGCTTGTAGCAGGAGCCAATCGTTACGAACGTTGTACATGGCCTACCCAATCAGAACTCGTTATAGAGTCTGAGCAATAGGAATGAAGGGCTTTACTTTGAATGAGCTGCAACAGCCTTGCCAGCCTGGTACTGATCTCCATTCAATGTCATTTCGGCAACATGTTCACTGACCACTTTACGGATTATAAATCCCTTGGTTGCATCACCGTCGAGATCGTAATGCATGTATGCGGCATTTCGTACAAAGTTTGGTAACACCTTTGCTGTTCCACGTCCCTATGTTGCGAAAAAGTATAAAAATATTAGTCAACTTTTTCTTGAATTTGTTGAAATGCATCTTTGACAGCGGGCTTCGGTGGCGCAGTCATGAGAACAAGCGCCTTCCACCTCTGAGTACGTGGGTTCGATTCTCGCTATGGACTCATGTGAAAAGAGTCAACGCTCTGCCGAAAATCGTGGGTTTTCTCTCGGGTCAATCTCGTACCCAGAGCAATGCCTGAGCGCAGGTAAGAAAGGCATTGGCTCTGGGGAAATTGAATTTTTCCTGTGCTGTGATTGGTTAACGTTTATCAATAGTGCATGCCGACAAAGAACCGGAACCCCTAAATTTAGGGGTTCCGGTTGTCAATTTCCCCAGAGCCAATGCCTTCCTAGCCCGCGCACAGGCATTGCTCTGGGTACGAGATTGCTCTCGGGTGGGTTATTTAAAATTTCCTTTTGTATTTCTTTTATTTTAATAAAATTGTAAATTGTAAAATTGGATAGATGAACCTAACACTAATCTAACCCCAACTCTAACCCCTAACCCTAATATAATCTTAAGGGACCGGACATTATTTATGGGGGGGGATGGCACCGAAGAGAAATGTTTTTTGTGGCAAAAAATTTGATTACCCAACCTCAAATATCAATTAAAAAATAAATACCCACCTCTGGCCAAAAACTTTACAAAAGAATACCATTCAGTTGTCACACATGTCCTTTATCATTTCTGTGACATGAGTTCACAAATCGGAAAATGATCCGAGATAGTGATTCACATATTGTATTGACATATGACTGTTGACATTGCTTTTCAGTCTCCAATATTTCAGTGAGTCATGCTTTGGAAATGACAATAAATTTTTTGATTACCAAACCCTTGAGTTGTTTTGTTTTTCATTTACCCAACCTTTTACTTGCTCAAAATTTTGTTTACCCAACCCTTTTCTCTTCGGTGCCACCCCCTGCCATAAATAATGACCCGTCCCTAATCTAACCCTAATCTAATCTTAATCTGACACCAATCTAAACTTGATGACCTTAATAATCTGCATGGTGTGAATTTTCCTCTGAATTTCTCCTTTTATCTAAATTAGTACAATTTTTCTTTCTTGGGAAAATAATTTCTGGGAACTCAAAACATTTCTGGGACCAATGGTCCAGTGGTCCGACACTTTTTCTACCTGGCTATAAGAGAAACGTATCACTTACCACTCGCTTTTGGTAAAAGGCATCTGTGTTGGGTAAACTGAATTGACAAACCCGTGGTTTGTCTGCACAGTTGGTAAGGTCGACGACTCGTTTCACTTTGTAATACGGCTTCTCGTTGATGATAGTGTAAGCTGTCTTGCACTTTCCTAGCACGGTCACCTGAAAAATCATAGAAATGTTGGTTAAGAAGGGATTATAGTGGGAATAGTGGCGGAGGTGATGGTCGTAATGGTCGGTGGTGATGATGATGGTGATAGTAGTGACCAACTGACCATCAGTGATGGTCTTTATGATGGTATTTGTTGTGATGCCAGCAGTGATGACATTGGTTGCTGTGCTGATAATAGTGATGATGATGGTGATAGTAGTGACCATCAGTGATGGTCTTTATGATGGCATTTCTTGTGATGCCAGTAGTGATGACATTGGTTGCTGTGCTGATAATAGTGATGATGATGGTGATAGTAGTGACCATCAGTGATGGTCTTTATGATGGCATTTCTTGTGATGCCAGTAGTGATGACATTGGTTGCTGTGCTGATAATAGTGGTGATGATGGTGATAGTAGTGACCATCAGTGATGGTCTTTATGATGGTATTTGTTGTGATGCCAGTAGTGATGACATTGGTTGCTGTGATGATAATAGTGATGATGATGGTGATAGTAGTGACCATCAGTGATGGTCTTTATGATGGCATTTCTTGTGATGCCAGTAGTGATGACATTGGTTGCTGTGCTGATAATAGTGATGATGATGGTGATAGTAGTGACCATCAGTGATGGTCTTTATGATGGCATTTCTTGTGATGCCAGTAGTGATGACATTGGTTGCTGTGCTGATAATAGTGGTGATGATGGTGATAGTAGTGACCATCAGTGATGGTCTTTATGATGGCATTTCTTGTGATGCCAGTAGTGATGACATTGGTTGCTGTGCTGATAATAGTGATGATGATGGTGATAGTAGTGACCATCAGTGATGGTCTTTATTATGGTATTTGTTGTGATGCCAGTAGTGATGACATTGGTTGTTGTGCTGATAATAGTGATGATGATGGTGATAGCAGTGACCATCAGTGATGGTCTTTATGATGGTATTTGTTGTGATGCCAGTAGTGATGACATTGGTTGTTGTGCTGATAATAGTGATGATGATGGTGATAGTAGTGACCATCAGTGATGGTCTTTATGATGGCATTTGTTGTGATTCCAGTAGTGATGACATTGGTTGCTGTGATGATAATAGTGGTGATGATGGTGATAGTGGTGACCACTAGTGATGGTCTTTATGATGGTATTTGTTGTGATTCCAGTAGTGATGACATTGGTTGCTGTGATGATAATAGTGGTGATGATGGTGATAGTGGTGACCATTAGTGATGGTCTTTATGATGGTATTTGTTGTGATGCCAGTGGTGATGACATTGGTTGTTGTGATGATAACAATGGTGATGATGGTGCATGGTAGTGGTAATGGTCGGTGGTGAATAAGGTGATGATGGTGATAGTAGTGACCATCAGTGATGGTCTTTATGATGGTATTTTTTGTGATGACAGTGGTGATGACATTGGTTGTTGTGATGATAATAGCGGTGATGGTAGTGGTAATGGTCGTGATGGCGACAACAGCTGGTAACAAAGGGAAGCAAGGCTTTAGTAATATTCTTGATTAATATTCTCAACTGAAATCCTCAACAAACATTCTTAATTAACATTCCTAATTAATACTCTTAATAAACGCATTCTTAATTAACATTCTTAATAAACATTTTAATTAACATTCTAAATAACGCATTCTTAATTAACATTCTGAATTAACAATCTTAATAAAATTTTTAATTAGCAATCTTAATTAATATTCCTAATTTAAACATTCAATTATCAGTGTTAAACAACATTCCCAATTAAAATCTTTGTTAACATTTTAAATAAACATTCTTATTTTCAATACCTTATTATCATTTTTTCTGTGCTGGTGTTGTGTACTCAGGTGAATATGATGTTTGTGATGTTACTGTGAGTGTATATCCACACCGGGCGAGCTTGAAAAATATACCCGGCCACGGTGGGAATCGAACCTACGACCTTTGGAATACTATCATTGTTAATGAACATTCCTAATTAACATGCGTAATCAACATTCTTAATTACCCTAAATTAACATCAGTCTTCCATACCTCATTCTCACGGGTCTGGTACTTCTCGTTATTATCCTGAATGGGCAAGTACATGTGGTTAACAATAGCTCTCTGGATGTTCACGCACCATTCCGGCACGCCCTTCTCAGTGATAATCTCCTTCTCAACAAAACCCAACTTAGACCGAAACCTGATTGGCAGATGCAAGCATTGCTGAAGGCGTGCGTTCACATCTTCTAATGGTTTTTCTTCGCCAACTCTCGTTTCAACGCGATCATTGTACAAAAGTTTGTCCACTACTTTGACCAGTTTCACACCTTCCAACTGTGGAAGAAAAAAAATGCAAATTGTTAAAGTTTCTTTGGATGTAAATTTCGAACCAACCGAGAAGGGTTGTGAAAAATGTAACTATACAGGCCCTCAAAACGAATCAAACTAGCGGCCCTATACGATTCTGGTGTAGTGTTCTGACCGCTGAACGACAGAGTAGAGGAGTTTTATCATGTACAAATAAATAACTTGTTAGGCTGCTGAGTGAAATCGCCAAACTGATTTAGAGTATAATACTGATTAGTAAAATAGGAACAACTAAATCTAAACTCTTAAACTAAATCTCAGCTAGTGTTTATTCATTTCAAATAATGTTCAGGATAAACAAACTGCTTATTAGAAGACTCGATTTGTTATGAGGCTTATACGATACAAAATGTGTTACCTAGAACTCCTATTCAACATTTACATATATATGAAAGGAAGACATATCTCACAAAAATTCGGTTGATAGGGATACAACTACCTGAAAAATACCAGGAGAACTTCGACGTTCCGAGCGAGAGCCCTCCGTCGGGAAGTTATATCTCAACCTACCGTCATCCTGATGTATCCATTGTTAAGGAAATCAAAATGAGCTTTTGCTCTGATCTTCAACGCCAAATCCTTTTCCAATGCTTCTGCAATTCCGTGTGCCACCCAGCCAACATAATCGTACGAATATCGCCTGTTACGCACGAATTCTAAACGAAGAGAATTTGATTAATATATTACCGACACGATGGGAAAGGGTCTGACACTATAATAACAGAATTCAAACGCATTCTAGTACCAGTCAACCACTGGTTTCTTTCGAAATCTGATGAAAGGTATAGAATATCAAATTTGCTTCACTGGTTTCCCGAACAAATTACATTCACGATCAAGCGTTTCAATAGTGTGTGAATATACTGTAGTCTAAGATAATAAAGTAAAATATGAAAATAACCAAACAATACTTACCGACACGGAGAGCCGCTATAGAAATACAAGAAAGAAAAATATTTCAGTAAGCATTAAAAGGAAAAATATGATTGCCAAAAATATGAAACTATAGAAGTAGTAAGGTTTCAAGTACAAATTAATCTATGTTAAAGAAGATTTTATGCAGCATTTAATGTATAATTAAACTAAACACTGTTCAACAAGAACATTATAAAATACATTACCAGCGGCGCTCAGGCAGAACAAAAGAACAGACAAGACTTTCATGTTGACTGGTCGAGGTCCTCTTGTCCTATGACAAAACCTAACCTACTCAACCGAATTTATACACATCACTACCTGGCCAGTCCACTGGAATTTGTACCCATGAACTTTACTTTACCTACGTTTTTTTTTCTTTGCTGGATATGAAAGTCAAGGGCAAGATTCGGATGTTGTTTATCCATTCGGCTGGTTTTACATCAGAAGTTTTGTCTTGTTTTAAATGTATTCCAAACAGGTTTTTTCATGAATCATATTTTGACCTGAGGCGTTTTGTTTAAAAAAATGGACAACTTGCATGTTAGACTAAATTTTAATCTAAGTAAAGAGAAGGGAATCAAAGACAACAGTTAAAAAGAACGTAATGAAAATTTGGTTGCGAAATGTTGTAAAATACAGAAAATATAGCCTTGCGAAGTTTGCATATTTTCAGTATATTTGTATTGCGTGCGCAAATTGTTACCATTTTCGGCTCAAAAATGGTAACAATTTCCGCACGTAATGCAAACGTACTGAAAATATGCAAACTTCGCAAGGCTAGTATATTTTCTGTATTTTACAACATTTCGTATAACCAAATTTCGCAATTTTACTGATTTTAATAAGTTCTTTACGGGAGTTTACTTTTTTCTACCTAGATAAAAAAATTTGTCTAACATGCAAGTTGTCTATTGTGGGAGCCAGATTCCAGGGTTCAAAATGATGAAATGCACCGATTTTTTTACCATCTTGACAGCTAGATTGTGCATTTTTTATCTGTCTAACATCGTCCAACAGTACTGGACAGATAATTTTATGAGAATTTTTTTGTATGTTACGTAACACACGCTCAAAACTAATGAGTAAAATATACCACTTGCGATTATGACTGCATTCAACATTTTTATTTTTTGATACGTAGAACAATTGGCAAACAAACTTAAAAAGTATGTTTAGTGCTTTATCTGTAAAATAAAGCTAAAATGAAGAGATTTTAAATGGTATGGCAAAGAGAAAATTATGTCTGAAGTTCAGTACGTTTTGCTTATATTGCTGCAAATATGGCGTCACTTTTAAAGCATCATTGATAAGTGTATTTGACTTGGCAATTTTTACTATCATTTCATGTTTCTCAACCGGCAAATGCATTTAAAAAGGTAGCTAACTGTATAAACTAGAGAATAGAGCTAAAACAAAGCAATTTTGTACGCCAAAAATATTTTCGGTTTTGATCACTTTTCATCGCAAATACGCGACATAGAAAAAATTACCTCCCTGCAGTTTATTAGAAAATGAAAGATCTCCGATTTAAACCTGATTTTCCAACAATTGCTATATGTTAAAATACAAAGAAAGTCCGATAAGAAAAATAATAACCATAGAATTGGATTTTGTGGAAAAAAGGGCTTGTAGCTGCTGTTGCTATGGCAACAATGACGCTTCAATATGGCCGATATTTTGGGTTTGAAGTTATTTAACTTGCAAATGAGGCCGATTACCACCATTTTCCATGAAAAGAATTCGTTTAGTATTTTGAATCATTCGGTTATGATTTATAAAAAAATTGCTACGAATTATTACATTTTCCGATCTTGAAAAAATTTTGGCATGACAGAATTTTTTTTAAATCACGAAAATGATTCAACATACTAAAATAAATCATGTTATAAAATAAATAATGGGGGTCACAGACCGCGGTCACATCGAAACGTCATTGTTGCCATAGCAACGGCTGTTAGGAGTATATTTTTAAAAACTCCGAACTTCCTATAGTTATTGTTTTATTCAAGTCAGATAGTCTTTGTTTTTCAACAAATTATTATTGTTCAGAAATTCATGTCCAAATCGGAAAATCTTCCATTTTTAAAAAGTGTAGGTAGCCACCTTCATTAAACAGTCAAAACCGATCCAAAATCAGCCAACACTACCCAACACAATGTTCAAACGAGGCCAACAATGTTCGATGATGTTGGAACACATGTTGGGCGTCGATTGAATGGAGTTTTATGATAATTTCGTTATTCAATTTAAAAAATATTGACGAAAATATGCCCTTTGCTTTTTAGAAAAAAAGTCACATAATTTGTTTTGTCTATCCTACTTTCAGACAACGAGTACATAAAATTAAACGCCGTTTAATTATAGAAATTCTCTTCAATGCATGATAACTAACAAGATATACGCAAAATTTGGCAAAAATTTGTGTGAAAAAATCATTTTGGATTTTGAAATACTGTGTCATTTTAGATAATATAGCTGTCAGATCGATATTTAATTTTTGATAAAAGCAAGCAACGCAAATAGAATGTAAAATACAGATTTTGCTTGAAATTTCCACCCAAAACTAGCAAAAAAGCCTAATGGTAAAATTTTATCCTAAAAAACTGTCATATAAATTTGTTTTCAAAATAATAATTAAATACTGTTCTCAAACTGTACCGTACCGTGCTGTACCACTGGGATCTAGTAAGTGGACTGGCACTAGTTTCCAAATAAACAACCATTTCCTGGTTCAAACTATTCGATATTCGTCCATGCAAATTTGTCATGGAAAAAGTTTCAACTAGCTTTATAGAACTCCAATCAGCATGAAACAAACGCATTCCTACATGTACAGAGGCTGAAATTTGCAGCTCAAAATTTAACGTTTTTAGTAATCGTTATTATCATTTTATGATTTAGTAATGTTTCCGTACAGCCCTCACTCTCGGTCAGAAACTTATTAATATTAAACTGATCTATTTACTTTTATTGAAAACATTCAAACCGAGGTCTTTGTCGTTCGGTCAATACAGCAAGACCGAGGTTTGATATTTTCCCACAGCCTGATATTTTCGAGGTCAGTATTTTTTTATTATGAGGGCAAAGTACAAAGTCCCTCGTAAAGTCCGAAACATCTGAAAATGTTTTAATTAAATTGTCAAAATTTATCTCTTGGACCTGGTTACCTGGCAAACCATACTGGTACACCCTGGTACTACATTCTGCTGATTCTGCATCGAGCACTTTCGTAGACATTACATTACTTTAGATTGCATCATATGAGGTCAAATGTTTATCGAATAAAGGGCATGTAAGCAATTTTGGTGCAACCTGCAATGCAATTTCTGTCATCGCGAACAGTTGAAAATAACACACAAAAAATTATCATATATTATACAGGGTGTATCAAAACAAAGGAGACCTTTAGAAATCAAGCATATTGTTAAAATTTGAATGCCCTTTCAATTGCACATATGCTGAACCGTGGTGCGTGAAATATTGATGGAGTACATACATATATTAGAAAAAGGAGACCTTTTAGAAATCAACTATTGTTATAATTTAAATCCTGGAGCACTTTGCTAGGCTCAGGAGTGCGTAACATGCGATCTACGTACAGTATGCATGGCAGATTGTTCCCAGGAGCGGACAGTCTTTTGTTTAAACGTTATTTCAATTTCTAAAGGTCTCCTTTTTCTAATATATGCACTCCATCAATATTTCACGCACTACGGTTCAGCATATGTGCAATTGAAAAGGCATTCAAATTTTAACGATACGGTTGATTTCTAAAGGTCTCCTTTTTTTTTTTATACACCCTGTATATGTATTTAACCACATGCAGCTAAGGCGTAAAAAAAATACCTGTGGTTCCGGTTTCACATCGTGAAAAAATTAGGGTCGGTAGGTCGGAAATAAAAAAAAAAATTTTTGAATATTTTTTTCATGGTTTTGGCGGTTTTTTGCTGGGCGATTTGCAGTAGAGTCCCGATATCAATGTTAACTAGAGATGCGCATTTCCTATGGACGAATTTAGGCAATTTGGTTCAATAATTAGTGTGACAACAGACGCCATTTTGGCACGCTGTATGAGCAGCCCGCAACCACCTGGAGAAAATAGGGTCGCACGGTCAATCACGTTGAAAAATAATAGGGTCGGCAGAAAAAATTAGGGTCGGTCGGGAACCGGAACCACAGGTGTTTTTTTTTACGCCTAACTCTTGTGGTGTTATAAATCTACTTTGTATAGAATGTATTAATAATTCATTTCAGTTTTCCTCGATTTTCTCAGCTAAAATCACTTCTTTTTTAATAATTTCTTAAAACATAACTGTTGAAATCCTGTTTCACAAGCTATATAAAGCACTCGCTCCGTGTTGTAGCAGACATATCAGGAAGGGAGCTTAAACAAGCGGCTTTTGTATCAATATACGGACGTCAGATTGCCGAAGGGTGACTGGGTTAGAAACTCCATTTGTGACAGTTTGTGGTAATCTTCAACACGCATGATTTTTAATGTTGTTAATGTTATGCAACACGGCCGTTTATGCTGTATATCAATATCACGTATCCTAACCCATTGTGTGAGGAAACCTGAATATCAAGGAGAAAATCCACGAATTCCAGCCGCAAGGTGTTGTCTGTTGACTGATTTCTTCCATGAATGTCATGAATGCTGAAGGAGAATCGAACCCATGGTCTCAGAGATGAATCTGACGGAGACCCATGGTCATGAATTATAGTCATTCAGAAAATTCGTGTCGGCAACCTTTCGCAAAAGTGGCATAACATATAGCTCTAGAATTGTTTTACGTGTCAGCTACAGCAAAAAATACCTTCTATATCACGCCCATGCCATTTATCATCTTGAAAATGAATTTCATGTCACATGTGGTTTTTAATTATATACAGTATGAGAATAAATGCGAAGGGAAGTTGGGATGATGTTCAAGCGTTGTCATGAGTGGTACCGGAAATTTTTGCTTTGACCAAATGGTGTTTGAAATATTTTGCTGGCATATTGTTTTGTATTAAGCTGGGCAGCTAGTGTAATTATGATAATACTGTATAGTTCTGTTGAAATATTTCAATGAGTTGACCTTGGATTTCGTTCATCTGAACTTTGGAGTCCTTGCAATTGTATTATGGTTTAATGCTTACCTTAATACACTTTGCTATTTTCATTCAATTGACAGGACCAAATTCGGAAAATGGATACAACTATAAAAAACACGACATACAGGGCTAGAAATAACGTTTCCAACGTTCCCGATCATGGTGATCGGCAATCACGACTTTTTTCCGATCAAATAAAAATTGATCGTTGATCGGCCGTTATTTCAAGCCCTGACATATGCACAACTGACAGTCAAGTATGAAGCATGCACTTTATAAAAAATGCAGTTAAGAGGAAAATACGGGCATGTTATAGAGTAAAAAAAGA